GGCTAGTATCTTTGCTTTAACCACTCCAAGAAATTGACGAATGCACGATAAAGGATGACTATATAATTTCGACTTTCCGTGACTTATATTAATCAGATTTCAGACTTGTCATCGTTTGTACTATTTATAACCAACTTACTGTGTCAGTATAAGTGTACGGTATTGTTTTCTACACCTATCAAAATGAAAATGTCAATGCGTACTGAGAAATCGCGTGCGCATTAATTAATTGCATATCGTGTTAGCGAGGAAAATAATTAGTTCAAACTGTTTTTTCATTACTATTATTATTATTTTAATAAGGAATACCCTCAATGAGATCTTGACGAGATTATTTTTCATAAGCGGAAAAAAGGCATTTTTGATGATATTCCTATCGACTTCGTTACCGTATATAACGATAAAAATTAATAATAATAATAATAAAAAATTACTACATTAAAATCGAGTTTTACAATACGACGAACGCACTGACGACGGTGTCGGGTATGCTAGCAGTTGGTATATCCCGAGAGCCATACAACTTCATCCATCGGTTTGAAGGGATGATTATTTCGGAAAAATATTATTATATCCCTTGTTCAAAATCCACGGGATCTATGTAATTTGCAGGAGCTCGTCGGCGAATGGGTATATTGAAAGGAAAACCGCATTATAATCATTTATATTCCCAGATGACTTTCTATACTCGTCCGTTACGTATAATATTTCATAGAAGATATCGTCACGAGACATTCTGACTATATTTTTGAGCAAAATATAATCGATCGAAATATAACGTAATTATTACTGTAAAATAATAAAATCTGGAGACTGGAGCCTTGCTCAGGTGAGTTTTTGTGAATTAGTTGAAGATGCGTGTAAATTTATTTAAATATATATTTTTATTTAATTTTTGAAAATTAAATGAAGATAAAATAAAAACAAATAAGTCACAAAAAAATATCATCAAATTATTTTTTATTTTTTAAAAAATATTCAATTTATTCAAATAAAATACCAACAACGAATGTTGTATCGTGGATTTTCAAGAGCAAAAGATCTTTAAACTACTTTTCCACAATAACCATAATATGATGAATAGTGTTCATTTTAGTTTTAAAACAAAAAGGAAAAAACAAAAATACTTCTTAAAAAAATAATAATAGTAATAAAGTTAACAACTATTTCGTTAAGATTGTATGGATACACCGTAAAAAACAATAACTACTGATACCGCTGCATGGCGATTATACGAAAGTTTCTGACAGTATACGAATGTCAAATATGCTTAATTTATATACTTTATTTCAGCCCATAACTGAGTTTTTCAAAAAAAATATAAAGACCAATAAATTCCTTGTTTTTTTAAAACTCTTAAATACCAATTTTTAGGAGAATCTCATAGTTGGGTTTTGAGGGGTGCTTGGGATTGCTTGAAAATTCCCGAAATGGGAAAATAGTTAAAATATTAAACAAATTGTATTTTATTTATATTAAAAACGGGACTAGCTCAATTACAAAGACTTACCATAAATAACAAAATAAAAGTACATATTATTATAAAAACGATAACATATAGTACAGACACAATAGTTAGGTTGATGATACAAAATCAGAATATTTAAAGATATAAATATACTTAAAAAACATAAAATCTAGAATAAAAAGATGGGTTCTCGTTGGCCAATTCTAAAAAGAGGACGGTTAGATATGTAACTTGTAGAAAAAATTGAAATAGAAAAAGGGTATACAGAGCAAGAGTTAAAAACAGGGATACAAAAGTTAACAACCTGCAGCAATTTAGGTGCACCAAGATTTGCAATAATAAGTTTACCTAAGAAGGTTAAATTCACTCGCTTCTTTCTATCAACTATCATCAACAGATTGAGCTCCCGAAGCATCAGCGTATAGTTATTCAGCGAATGGGCAGTCGCACGGACAAATGCCGCATACTTCATAAACTTACGCTGCACACGTTCAACTTTGCATTGGTCACTAATTGTACAAAGGCTCCATATTATTACTTCATGCTTCAAAAGAGAACGAACAATTATTATTAATACATTATTTCCCCTTTACTACTTTCTCAACCTCTCACCTACAACAGCGGCCTACCCATGAGTGAAATATGTCTGTCTTTTTTTATTTTATTTTCGTAAAATGTTACGACTAATGTAAAATAATTTCACTTTTGGTTCATAAGAACCGATTTTATGCTTTTAGTTCTAAGTAATATCTGAGTGAATCAGCTCATTATAAAAATTAATGGTAAGAACATCGTCTGTGTTTGTCTTTTGGTATTTTAATGTATTATTTTTTAAACCAGATAATAAAATGTGAAATATTATAATTTAAAAATCATTTTATCTCGCTTAAAAAATTTAAATACCGAGTAAAAAAAACTAACATATAAACACAGACATTCTTCTAGCTTTTAAATTTGATAAAAGGCTAATTCACTTTAATATTGCAACGAACAGCACAAAATTGGTTCCACTGAACCAAAAGTTGACACAATTTAATTTTTAATTTTAATTGGTTCGTTCTCTGGCTGAACTTACCAGATGCACGCAAGCATCTCTTAATATCATGATGAAAACTACATAATATATTGCTTTATTCGAGTTTAATTTAATTAGGTACATGATGTTATATTATATACGTTATAATAAACATACACAATACATATAATAATATATCCTAATTAACGCAATATTCAGTACACTAATCTATCAATACTCCGCGCTATACAGGTAAATACAAAGCATTAGCCTTAATTATTTGGTATTACATTATAAGCTTGTGTTATGTAACGGAGCTATTTATCATTGGTATGCGCCACAAATAACATATTATTTTTATAAACTCGATTTGGGTAATTCAAATATATTATTTTAACCTGACTGGGTGATTCTTCTATCATCAAACACTCATTATTTTGAAAAATATTGACTATTTTTGAATTTTTTTTTTTTGTGTGAAAACCTAAGAAACAAATAGTTCTAAAATGTTGCATTGTCGTTTTTTTTTTTTTTTTGTCACCCTTATTTTTGGGAAGTGATAACGACTATTTATTTTTATTTTCAATTGGCAACCTATATTGAAAATGGCTTAAATAAATTAGTTAAAATAAATAATGGTGTATACATTTTTGATTTCCGTCAATCCTTTTGTGAGATATTCAACTTTTAAGTTTGGCTTGAAAGGGAAAGTAGTGGAATATCTATTTAGGCATAGCACCCGATGTTTTAATAATACACTACTATTCTCCTCTATCCTAAACTTAAAACTGAAATATCTCGTCAACGGATTTATCGAAATTAAAAATATCAACACCTAAATTTATTTTAACTCATACTCCATCTATTTGTGGGATTTTAATATAGGGTTACCATTTCAAAATCAAAAGTAGTTAGTCGCTTTATACTCAAAAATTAGGGACACAAAACATATTGTAAATATAAAATTGTAGAGCTGTTTGTTTCTTAAACTTTCAATAGAACAGGTTTAATACTTTCCGAGATATTGAGTATTTTAACAATAAAAGAATCACCCTGTATATATATATATGTAATCAATGTAATGAAATGGTAAATATACGAATTTTTTAATTTCAAAAATCTAATTTGAGCTATTATCTATCAAGATCACACGTTGATTGCTTATCGACGAACTCATACTCGTATACTAATAATATGCTACACACATTAAAACGGCGAAATAAATAGACAAAACTCGTACACGTACGCATACAGTACAATAAAAACACCACTAAAACAAAATATTTATTTGATATATTGCCTATATTATATTATGTATGTATTATACTAAATTATATTAAATTTATTATATTATATTAAATTACCCGGAATTTACCGGACTCAATCCTATCAAAAAGAAAAAAAAGAGCTGATACTGGATGCAGCTATTCTTGTTGGTAGAAAGTTGGAAAGGTATGTAAAGTGGAAAATGATTCGGAGCTAAATTCGATAATACACAATTTAAAATACCTAAATTTATATTATTTTTGTCAAAATTTGATCTTAAAATGCTTATAAAAAATATAACTAATACATTTAACTCAAATTTGTTTTATATACCACTGAGTACAACTGTTGATGTACCTTGTATTAAATTTTCAAACATTTCTCTTAAATCATATAATTTTAATAGCATATACCTACTAAATACGCTATTTGTTAATCAAGACAAAAACTTTCAATCAATTAATGCACGTTTCAACGATATCAAATCTCACTTGTTAAAATTATACCAGCTGTAATGGAATATCATGATAAAGCAGTCCAGTATCAAAGAGTCCAGAAGTCAAAGAACGTATTGAATCCAATACTGACAAAATAAATGACATGTTTACTCTACTCTCCATTAATCCGGATAAAATCGTTAATATCTTAAGATTAAGTCACTCATCAACATCTTTACGAAGGTCAATAAAATTGATTCCACAAAATAATTGTGATGTCGACAGTATCTTATAATCTTTTACTGAAATAAAACGTGAGTCCCCAACGTCAGTAGATTGCATTTCCATTGTCAAAAATCGTAACTAGGCAGAGCGTCGCAACATAAAGGAAATATATTATATGGATTTCATCAAAAGATTGAAGGCTGGAAAAAAGGATATCAAAGTCCAGTATTTCAACTTTTTTCCTAATATTGTAATTATAAAAAGACGTGCTAGGATAATGGAAACAGGTGCATAGATAATTTAATATATATGTAAGCAACAATAAACCATTATGTTCTAGTAGAAAAGTTGCGCTCAGATAAAAAAAAATAAAATAAACATCTTTATAAAACCATGGGCTTCTTTGCTCCATTCAGAATATATAACCTGATTGTGAGAGCGAAGTCCCGTAGTAATACGAGGTCTGGCTATTAAACAACGAGACTAGTTACGAAAAAGTGTTTTATTATACAAATTATTTTACATTCAAATGCTCCCCTTCAATATACTCCCCTCCCCTCACTACACACCGTTTCATTCGTTTTTTCTATTGCTCGAGGCAGTGCTGGAAGTCTGTTTTCGTAAGACCATTCAGGAGTTCCGCCGATTTTAGTTTCACCTTTCCGCCGATTTTAGTTTCACCTCTTCCATCGACTCAAACCGGATTCCTTTTAAGGCAGACTTTATCTTCGGAAACAAGTAAAAGTCGCAGGGTGCCAAGTCGAGTGAGTAAGACGCGTGTTCGAGTACTGGAGTGCCTTAAGCGGCCAAATAACGCTTCACGCTTTATCCTGGTGCAAGATCCACGACTTGTTTTTCCACAATATCGACCGTTTCTTACGAACTCATTCGCGCAATGTTGCAAAAACTGTCAAATAGTAATGTTGGTTCACAGTTTGACCCTCTGGAACCCATTCAGTCATCACGATCACGATATCGAAGAAAACGATCAGCATGGTTTTGAATTTGGACTACGACTGAATTGGATTCCTGTGCACTCTCGACCTTCAGAAAATAATTTATGCCACTCAAAAACACGCGCCCGAGATAGGAAATCCTCACTATAGGCCTCTTTTAACAACTTATAGTACTCAGTTGGAGTTTTTTTTAGTTTAATGAGAAAATGTTACGTTTATCCATTGCTCATGTTTTTCGTCACACATCATTTTCGGCAAGAGAAAAAAACATGTTCGTTTCTAAACGCTACAGAAAAAATACTAATGCACCAACAAAAACCTAATTTTGTACTGGCATAATAGACATTTCCAGCTAACTAGCGCTGTATTCGGTTTTCCCCTCACCTATTTAGGACGCTCTCTGCGCGTGCAGTCTCGTTATTTAATAGCCAAACTTTGTATATGTAATTTAAGAACAATTTTTATTAATTCAAAGTGTAAACCATATTCTGTTTCTAATTTGTCTTTTTCTTGTTATAATTTTCTTTTCTCTGGTTATTATCAAAATGTTCATGGTCTCTGAACTGAACTAAATTTATAAAAATGTTCAATACCATCTTCCGTTCACGATTTTATAATATTTATAAATACATGGTTGAATGGCACTTTTTTTAATAATGAACTTGAGTTTATTCAGATGTGACAGAACTAATATAACTAGTTCTTATAATCGCGGTGGTAGAGTTCTTGTGGCTACTAAACAGACATTTAATTCCCAACTACTTAATATAGACACCTTAAATTTTGAACAAGTTTTTATCAAAGTTCTATTAACACTCATGATTATTCACAAATTAGATCCTTTACTAATATCTAAACGTTAGTTCTTAGGCGTGAATTTACTGGCATAACTTTTATCTTTAAGCTAGTTAATAGAATCATACATAGTCCAGACCTATTAAACTGTATCTCGTTTAATATTCCCTCTTATAATAACCGCTCTTTTTCCTTATTTTATGTACCTACATCCAGCACAAACTATTTGAAAAACTCCCTTATTCTGAATGCCTTAAGCAACAGACTTTCGCGATCTGCTGATTTTTTTCTTTTTATCTTTAAAAAATTGTTAAATACCTGTGTACATAATGATATATAATACTGAGAATACCAAATTAATTTTAATTTTTACTCTAGAATATATTTACTCTGTTTTTTTGTTTATTGTGTTAAAAGCCTTACTGTACTATTAGGCTAACGCCCGTTTGATTCACTGAATAAATTATCATTAAATAAAAATACTTATGAAAACTTGAAAATATTATATACCCATCAATAACCTACAAAATATTTAGAATGTTTTGAAAATTTTACCACGTCTATAAAATCTCGTCTATAATAATTTTAATCCGAATAAAGAAAAAAAAAATTGAAATATTATACTTTTTTGCTATATTTTTTAAGTTTTTTCCCGGTTTTTCAAAACCCGGAAAATCTATCAACAACTTTCTTACTTATTTAATGAAAAAGAATCGATCTTTTAAAATTTGTCTTTTAAAACATATTTCTGGTATCAAATATAAGTTTCAAAAATAAAAAAATGAAATCAGAAAGCGGCGTGCTGTAAATATTTCCCGTTTTACCTATAATTTTCTTTCTCAATTATTTTTAAAAACCATTTAAAAATCAGAAAATGACCTGTCTAATGCACCAATCTTGCTATGCACCAAAATAAATTAAATATTACACATCACACAGTATCCATCGGTAATTTATCTTTTTAAAAAAATACTTTTTTATCTGTGACAATCAAATGAAATAATAATAACTGTTCCTTTTTACTTCATCCGTGTCACCAAGGTAACCCAGAATATAAACTCTTACATTTCATTCGTTTCGAGGTAAAAAGTAAATAATTACCAGACAAGACAAGAATAAAATATATGTATTTGACTATGAGTTCAACATAAAACTACTGTTTTTATAAAGATGTTTTTATTTTTCTTATAAAACATTTTTACAGTTAGTAAATATGCTCTAATTGGTGACACCTTATTTGAAGTAACTATTACTAGCTGATCTAGCAATTGCTAGATAATAATAAGATGCTACAACTATATTGATAGTAAAATGTCACGATTAACAATAACCTCGAATATTTTGGATAGGTTATTTATTATTTAGACCATTTACTGTTACTATCAGCAACTATTTTCTTAATATTAATATTTGTGACCTAAAGTATATAACCTGGAAGACAACTATCTAAATACTAAACTGCACTGATAGTAAAATATCATGAATAACATTTTTCTCGAATATTTTTGGTCGAGGAAATTGTTGTTCGTGAAAGTTTTATATCGATTGATTGATTTAAGAACAATTGATTTTGACTATAATTTTGGATAATATTTTCAAATTAATCTGTATATATATATATATACATATAAAAGATAAAGCTAACTGATTGACCTACATACACACAGCTCAAACCATTGGACAGTTCGAGCTGGAATTTGGCATACAAATGTGCAGCTATTATGACGTAGGCAGAAAGGGTTTTTTGAAAATTCAACCCTTAAGGTGGTTAAGAGTTGTTAAAAAAGTGAAAATGGCGAACACTTAGCAGCGTAGAACTTACTCGTATTTTAACTTTTATCGAATTTTTAAATTTGAACTATTGTTTTATTCTCATTTATGAGCATAAACTACCAAATGTTGATAAAAAATCGAGGTAGTTGACAAACGATAACAAAGCGATTGTGTCACGGAACGACACTAATTCTCAGTAAATAATGCTCGCTTGTGTATAATTGTACCGGTGGTGCCACTGGCGATGAGTCTAGCACACACGCGGGAAAGAGGGAGATAAATGAATAATACAATATAGGTGTATCAGTAAAACAATAAAGCGTTTATATTTTTGGTGACTAATAGTACCCCGACTAAGAGTAGTCTATGGTGAGATTAGGTTTAACGTAATCTATACGATGGATTACGTTTTACAAAAAAAAAAAATAAGACGACACAAAACGGTACTCGTACGACGACTGATTGCCGGACTTTTACTTGCCAACGAGCAGTTGCTGCTTCCCCGTACCCCACTCCCGTGAAGGGTAAGGTTGGGCGGTCGCGACATACACACTGCGGTGCCCGACCTGACGGCTGATAAACAAAACCGATCGCGAAACACGGTAATGCTCGTTTACTAGACTTGCAGCTATCACAGAACTTGTCAGTTGTACAGATGTGATCTGTTACATTGTTTATCATAAAAATGGATGTTCGATACAGTGGACGTTTGAGACAACTACTTTGATAACATCCAAATGTTTGATTTCGAGTTAGTTGTCAACGGAAGCAGTCGCTTTTCAATGCATTTGTGATCTCCGATAATAATGTAAATAATAGTATTAATAATAATAGTTTCCTTGTCAGTGACACCCAAATTGCTATCTGTGTCACCAAAGAATCCATGAATAAATAAAAATAAATAAATTAACAATTAGATATTCGTACAAAAAATACGCAAAAGCCTAATTATTGTAATTGTCGTAGAGATCTTTAATATTTTTGAAAACAAAATACAGGCCAAATTGATCACTGATAATATTGCTTTCTACATGAAAAGAAGTTTTAAAATCAGTTAAGTAGTTTTTGAGCTTTTAATTAAAAATATATTAAATATTAGTATGAATAAAAACATAATTGAGTCAAAAAGAAAAAAATTAAAAGAAAACGAACAAATTTATGTTTCTAGAAAGGAAATACGGAAAACATTAAATTAATTAATTTTAGCCTCTTTTTGACGAATTTAAATTTTCAAAACATTCTGATTTGTTTAGTCATTTAAAGATGTTTTCTTTTTTTTTTTTAGTTATTTGGTAGATCATAAGAACCATGTGGTAAAAATTGTTTCACTAAACAATAAAGCTTAAAAATTTAACACAAAATTCATTTTAATTTGTACTCAGTGATCAAAAAAAAAGTTGAAATAGTCAATAGGTTTTTTTTTTTTATAAGGGTTTTTAATTTAAATTTAGTAAAAACTACGTTTTTTTAAAACATGTAAAATTGAAAATTTCTCAAAATCATATTTCATTAAAAATTGTTTATCGTTGTTCACAGATATATATTGATTAACATTATGTATTCACTGTTTTTATAATTTTTTTCGTATGTGTAAAATGATTATTTGGACTGACAAAATTCTGCAGAGTTAATAATAGAAAACATATTATTATTATTAAACATATTATTTTTTTAAATTATATTAATCTGAATAGGTATTATATTATTATACTTCAAAACTGTTGACGGATGATGCGTAACCGACGATAAGCAACCGGATGCTGGCTAATCGAAAACTTAAAGAATAAAGGTAGAATCAACTAAAATTGTCGTTAAATCTAAACGTTGCTGTCTTTCGGAAATCTACAAGAGATCAGGACATAGGACTTCCTAGAATAATAAGGTCAAGTGCAACCACTGTTATAGGTGATATAATGTTTATCTATAAGCAACGGTTAACCACTGCTAACGAAAAAATGATTCCGAGAGGAATTCAGTTGATATTGATTCGTTGTCAACAATATACATGTCATATTATGGTAAAACAATTAAATAAGCATTACATATTTTCTTTAATAATATTTGTTTAATATTGTAGCGATTTTCCTGTTTTTCCTGCTTTTTCCCAGTTTTCCCATATTTTTTTCCAGTTTTTCACGTTTGCTCGGAAAACTTAGGAAAATCGAAAAAAATACCTCCCCGGTCAGATTTCCTTTTATATCATTTTATGTCAGTACTATCATTGTAAATCTAAGCAAAATGTCTAGTGATTGTCTAAAGTAAAAAAAAAAATTAATATTTTACTTATATGCTTTGTATATTTTCCCGTTTTTCA